TCCTTTTAGCTTGTGATAATACACGTAAGGATCAAACTGGCTCCGAGTGTACGAATGACCGATCATGAAACCATCAAATCGCTTATACAGCTGTCGAGGAGATTGCTTCAAACCGTATAGCGATTTCTTCAACCTACAAACCAACTTTTCCTTCCCTGCAGCTCAGAATCCTAATGGCTGAGTCATATATATTTCTTGATCAAGATCACCATGAAGAAATGATGTCTTCACATTCAACTGATCTAACTCCAAACTAAGTTTTTTTGTTTAGCACTGATTAATTAAGAACTAATTTTCGTAACTTATTTTATATTTTCGACCTAGTTGCAACCAACTGGCTAAAACTAGGTCGATAATGCTAAATAAAAAATAAATAGGTTGATTTTTGTAGATAAAGTTTCAAAAGGGTCCGTTTTAAAATTTTGTCCAACAAAAAGTGAGTTGCTAGGCATTGTAAGATTCCTATACCCATGTTTGTTTGTTTGTTTTTTTAAAAATCTATAGTGTTACTTTCTGTAAAATAGGGAAAATGACCAAATTTGAGAAAAAGTCAAATCTTTTTTTAGAGGAATTGGGCTAGAAAGCTTACACCTTAATCTCACCTTGATATTCCCTCCTTTCTCTCTTTCTCTCTCTTTCTTTTTTAGTCTTGTTTTACTATTTTTTAGAGTTCGAAACAAGCAACATATTACATTTCCTATTATAATTAATCAAGTTCACCTTATAATTAATTAGACCCAGAATGAAAAGTAATTAGATACTGAAACTTAATAGATCAATGCTATTCTTTCAAGTAGTTTAACCTCCAAATCTTATATAATTAAGAAATAAGAATAAGGACAAACTTTTAATCAAAATTGTTAGCTCTCTGCATAGATCATTAGTTTGTCTCGAATAAAACTAAAACCAAACGTGTGGTCCACAATTTGGATTTTTTTAATCAGTTGTGTACGAAGGGATTTGAATCTTTATGAGCAATTTTTTTCCTCTAATTTTTATTTGGAAACAAGGAGACCCCACCCTTGAGAGCAATGCTTGGCTCTTCTAAACAATTGGCGCACGCTTCAGCCAGGATTCCGGATTTTTATTTTTATTTTATTATTATTATTATTTGAATTTGATGGCTTCTATCTTTTTGTTTCATTGTCGTCTTGTCCTTTTTAAAAAGGAAAATGAGGGCTCAAGTTGTGATTTGTAACCTTTGTTCTTATCATCTTAGAGGTTTTAGCTCAAATCCTATACAAGTGGCGCTAAACGTGCTAGTACAAATTAATGAAAGTGTGTTTCGAAGTAGAAAAGGTGAATCGACAAGGAGGCAAATAAGAAAGGGTTTTCTGATATTAGCTCTTGAAATCTTTCATCCTTTGAAATTAGTCTCCTAAAGCTTAGTATTTTAAAATAATCTTCCCAAAGTGTTTTGAAATTAGTCCCTCTGATCTTGATGTTTTGAAATTAGATCTCGAAATCTTTTAAATGCTTTGAAATTAGTCTTTTCAATTAGTAGCTGGTTGAAATATTTCCGTGGGGCTAATTTCAAAACGTTTAGAAGATTTGGGGGACTAATTTCAAAATGTAAAGATTTTTAATTAATAACACTTAAAGTTTCCGGGGAATATTAAGATTTCGGGGACTAATTTCACAATATAAAAGATTTGGAGTCTAATATTAATTGGAAGAGAAAAAAAAAAACTTATCATAGACTTTGTGACATTTGCCCCTAATTGTGTCCATAGGCAAGTGTCAAGTTGATAAAAGTAACTACCTGTAGCTGAAAATCGAATATTGTTGGTAAAGACATGCGCATGTGACAAAAGAACTATAATTTGACGTATATACCTTCTTGGAGTAAACCAAATTCTAATAATTTTTCTTCTAAAAAATTATATGAATAAATGTCAGAGAGTGAGTAGTTGAGTGAGAGAGAGAGAGAGAGAGAGAGAGACGAAAAAAAGTCTACAGATGCGATCATGAACTGAGCCGTATAAAAAATCCAACTGTCATTAACGTACGAACTTCGACATTAAAGAGCTATCCAGGGGAAATTTCTCTGCATTAAATAATGTATGAACCTTATAATGCACTATATTTTTACTAGAAAATAGGAGTTATCGCATATTAGGCTTTAAATTCTGTCATATTTTATGTTAGATCCCATATCTTCATATTGTAATTTAGGGAGAGGTTCTAATAAAAACCTACTTAGCCTAAAAACTAAAAACCTCCTTCATCCATTGAATCTAGATGAATCCAATGGATGGTATTTAGTCAAAACAGACACATGTATTAATTACCTCATTAATTACCTCAACGCAGTGAATCCAGATTCACTATCTCAACGTATCTCGAATCACTGCAGTGAATCCAGATTCACTGCAGTGAATCCAGATTCATTGCGTTGATGTAATTAATGCATGTGTTTAATAAGGTAATTAATGTATGTGTCTGTTGACTGTTTGACCGAATCCTAGCGATTAGATGAAGAAGTTTTTTAGTTTTTAGGCTAACGAGGTTTTTATTAGAACCTCAATTTATACCTTCAAATAAATTTAGCTTTTTAAGTAACACCCCATGTTGTAATTTACACATACAAACTCGACGAAGTTGCTTTAAGCAGTACTCTCATGTTCGCAACTTACACTAAGTCCATTATGTTGTTTAAGTATGAATATTTAGGACCTAGAATAAAAATATGACAAAAAATATAGTATAAGTACGAGCACATACTAAGAAAGAAAACGAAATAAAACTTAAATAGTCATTTTCCGGTAACCTTCAAACGAGAGAGTGTTAAAAGAAGTATGTCGATGAAATTCCTATCTCAATCATATAAACTTATTGATATTTAAAGCTTTAGGCAGGGAAATTAAGTAGAGAACATATATTTATTTAATGGGTTTTTTTCTAAAAACTGTTGGTTAATCGAGCTGAATTTTTTATAATCTCAATCATTCAAGGGGAAAAACGAATAACACCCAAAAGATTAGCATGAATAATTATGATCTCTATTGTTAATCCATAATTAGACAACAAGTACCTCTTCCATCACACCTTGTATATTCAATAGACAGTTGGAAGAGAATCCTTACTCCTTACTCCTCACTCAAAATCAGGCCAACATCAAGCTAACGCAGCCCAATCAAAGAGAGTCTAATCTCCTCTTACAGTTATACTTATACCCACTTCATCTACCACCTTATCCTGTTAGTAAACCAAATAAATGCTTAATTATTATTATAATAAGATTCTAGATTGTAATTATCTCATAGAATAAAATAGCTAACTTATCGATCCTTAAAGTATTGTTATCTCCTTCTGAAGTATTAATTTTCCTATTTTGTCTCCTTAAACTTAAAACTTTGTAGATGTGGTTACTCTATGAGCCCGCGGTCAAATATTTAACATATTAATAACATGATAATATATTTACTAAACAGTCATATCATGAGTTCGCACATAAGGGACAAAATAGATAAATCTGGTACTTTAGGAGGAAGCTTAAGATTTGATCGGTTTGCCTCTGTGTCATGTTGTATGTTTAGACTCGTGGCATGACAACGAGAGTTGATGACATTGCTTGAATTGGACAGCTCTGACTCTGACTGCTGACGTGTCTGAATGGAGTGGATATGGGAAGAATCTGAGGTGGCTTAGAAAGGATTGAAACAAGGCTTGGTTTATTAATTGAGAAGGTCTAAGACGGAACTTCTTTAAAGATTCGGCGTCCGGCTTTTATTTTGTTTGGATGGTGGAAAGTTTGATTTCGTGACATGTTTTAGCAAAAGGACGCATAACCAGAAAATTTGGATATATTTGTTTACCTCAGCAAGATCACATAACGGAGAATCCCCTTGTGCATATGAATACTCAAAAAAAAAAAAACCATTGGTATATTTTTACTTGAATAGATATTCGAAAAGATAGTCCGCGCTTGAAAATTCAAGGATTTTTAAAGTTGGAAGGAAGAAAACATAAAGAAAATTTTAATTAGTTTTTTGGATAAAGTATAAGTCTAAGCTTTTTTTTCTTAACCTAACGTGCCATATATATAATATAATATGGGTCTTTCAAGATGCCTCAAGAAACAAACTCGAAAGAATGTTTTCTCGTTGATGATGATGATATATATAATTCGTCTAAATAAGATGTTTTACCTCTTAGAACACTTAAAATATCCTCAATAAAGATAACGGTAATTATACTCAAAGACGCAACTTGCATGTGAAAGCATAGCCCAGCTTTCTACACTGTCTTTGTGCATGCGATATTAAGAGGAAATGGAGCCGGCCTAGTTATTTAATTAGAGAACTCGTATGATAGGCCCATGAGCAAAATCAATCGCTATAGTGAAAAGGCCAGTATTAGGATTTAGGTGGGCTTGACGCGCTATGTATTCACTTTTATTTTTGATAGTCATAGCGTACATACTTCTCTCTGAAACTAAAATTCTTTTAACTCAAATTCGTCTTAAAATTTAGGACATGTAATTATAGGCTTAATTGCACTTAAATACCCTATAGTCTTACCCCGACCTTGTAATTAAGTGACTTTTTTTCAAGGGGAAAGCAAAAATGCTCAAAAGTATTTAAGTTTTATAGATTAATGCCTCAAAATTTCAAAATGTTGCCCTCTTATGACCCAATGTTGCATATAAATAAATGCCCCGACGTTTGTAAATAGTCTCACTTAAATACACCAAAATTTCTAAGAATTTTACTTTTACACCCTCCATTATGTAAGGTTGAGAAAAGATAACATCGTCTAGATTTTTTTTTTTTTTTTTAACTATGAGGTATTCATCTGCAACACTTAAATACTTTAGGGTATATTTTTTTGTTCGGTTTGAAACTATAGGGTATTTAAGTGCAAAGTGGGGAATTTTTTTTTTTTTTTTTTTTTGTTCAGCTTGAAACTAGAGGGCATTTAAGTGCAAGTTCAAGAAAACTGTCGGGCATGTAAGTGCGAGTAAGCCTAAATTATATCCGATGAAATACAAAATATTTAAGGCTACAACATAATCCAATAGCCACATTAATCATTAACTGAGAAATCCCAAAATTAACCAAATCAAACAACAAAGTACGGACACTGACCACGGCAACAAAACCTACAAAATTACATAGACAGACCCCGACAACAAAACCAAGCATTTGCATGTCACTACACAATTATTAGTTATTTACATGCCCAAAAAAACAAGAAGAACAAGTTTGATCACTGTTTAGGCCTCTTCACGATCAGAACAGGGCACTTGACGTTCTGTGCGCAGTGGTTGCTGACACTTCCCAAAAACGCCCTGAATTTCATAGTATTTACACAATAACATCAACCTATAATATTTTTTTTGGGTTTTTCTATAGAGTGCTCATGGACAGAGGAGAGAGATAGAGAGAAGTGAATTGCTCATGAACCCTCCTGATTTGTACTAAATTCTATGGGCAATTCACTTCTCTTTACCTCTCTCCTCTCTTATAGACTGCCCATGGGCACTCTATAGAAAAAACCTTTTTTTTTATCTCAAATCTGAAAAAGGTAAAAACTAGGTGTAATCAGTTGAATTACCTCTTGATGAGACCATAACCATGGCTTCCCATTACCAAAAGATCAGCGTTGAGCTTCTCCACTGCCTCACAGATTACGTCTCTGGGGTCTCCAACCTCCACTTTTGATTCTACATTCACCTGTAAATTCCAAAAATAAAAAAAAATCTACTGATTAAAATTTAATTCATATTAAGTATATTAGTTGTAGAAAATAATTTGCATCCTAATCTATTAATCTTTTATCCAATTTCTCTGAAATTGCAAATAAATAGATCGTAGTGCAAATGGATCACGTACGGTACGAAACAAGTTTCATTGCGATGAAGTGACACGACTTGGGCTTTAATTGTCCAGTCACGCAAAATTAGAGTAAATTAATCAGAAAACTTGCATGGTTCGGAACTACTTTAAATTGCAAAACGTGGCATATATTCGGGCAATTCTACATTACAGTACGTGGAACTACTTCAAATTGCAAAACGTGAAAAACAAAGCGATAATTTATGTAATTTAATAACTTGTAACGGGCCAGAATAAGAAAAGTAACATACGTATGGATAACTCGCACAAGTCTTCCTAGCTCTCTCAATCACCGTATCCGCCACCTCTCTCCCGTACCGATCCATGCTCGCCATTATATCCGACGAAAACAAGTACCCTGAAAACAACGCCTAATTACCAAGAGTGCCACCAGAACACAAAAAAAAAACCCAAACTTCCAAAACTACCCTCAGCTTACCCGTTCCGTCCATTGAAGGATAGAGAGCGCGAGGCGGGCGAGCGTAGAGGAGGACGAGGGTATCCTTGGAATCCTCCTCGGGCTTCGGCTTCGTCACCACGTTGTTGAGGCACCAAGTCAACGCGTACAGGCTCTCATCTCCGGGGTCAACGGCTACAGCGATCAGACGACCGGGTTGGCTCGCCATTGGGGACTCTGGAAATTTCTTTTTTGGGTGGTTTTTCGCTCTGTGGGTGAAATTTTGGTTGGGTCGTTTTTGGTATTTGTAGCTGGGGGAAGATAGGGGTTTGTGGCTTCTGGTTTCGGCGGGTGGGTCGGTGGGTGGAAGAGGTTTCGGTGGTTTTGGAAATCTAGGCCACCCGTGGTTTGCGTGTACCAGCTGGCGACGAGTAAGTTACTAGACTAGCCTTGGTTGGGTTTAATTTCACAAAACCCCCTGAACTTTAGGGGTGTTGCACGTAGCCCCTCTAAACTTTGTTCATCTCATTTAACCCCTTAAACTATTAGGTGTCCCACTAAACCCCTGAACTTTCACTTATCTCACCTAGCATCCCATCTATGATTTGTAAATAAGTTAAATATCTTTGAGTAAAAAATTCTCAAACTTTATGACCTATCATTTAAAGACAACATACTCCTTCTCCTAAAGTTTAAGTTTCTTCCTCTTAAGAAAAGAATAGCTATTTGTAAATTATAAGTACGGGGCTAAGTGAGATAAGCTAAAGTTCGGAGAGGTTTTGTGAGGCACCCCAACGATCAGGGGGTTAAGTGAGAAACATAAATTTTGGGGTTCATGTGCAACACCCCCAAAGTTCAGGGGGTTTCGTGAAATTAACCCTTTATTATGTGTAGAAGACTGGCTAGGTGGTGATAGTGGTAGCCTCGTAATAATTAGGGTATCAGTGGGGTTGTAAGAAATATGTGGGCGTTGCCAAGTGGATCGGGACATGGGCAGCATCTGGGGCAGGTAGGCAGTCTGCTTTAATCCCGTCGCCGCCAAACTAACACTTTGCAGTGGAATCTACTTTTTATTTTTAATGTTTAAAAATTTTAAAAAAAAATGTAAGGGGAAAATGATGTAAGGGGAAGTGCCGCGTCACTTGATTTTTTTGATGCGTGGCTCCAAAAAATAATGAAAAACATGATTTAACCTCATTATATAATGATATATTAGCAATAATTCAAATCAGTATTTTCGTTACGGTTTTTCTATAGAGTGCTCATGGGTACTCTATAAGAGAGGCAGAGGCGTGGCTGACAATTTGGGGGCCCGGTTCTAAATTTCAATTGGGGCCTCTTAATTAGAGGTGTTATCAGATTTTCACTAGTTATCTTGTTCAGTCTCATATTGTGTGTATGTCAATCCTACTTGATAGTTGCATGCTAAAATGAACATGAACTACATTCAACCCATGCACCTTTATTTAACCTCTCTTCATAGCCTACTAAATCCTTGAAATAAATTCTTAGAAATCAAGAATATACCTGCTTCCCTAGACAAAGGTCAGGCGCCACACAACATAGGCTCATCGCACTCGTCAAAGTGAACTCATTTGGCTGCACATTCTCCACCAACATATCTGCAAAAACATCCTCAAGCCCAACTCAGCATTACCATTATCCCCACAAGCCGACACAATTGTCGTCCAAGAAATCACATTCTTATCCTCAATCCTCTGAAAAGCCTTAGCTGCCAATTTCAACCTTCCACATTTTGAGTACAAGCCACACAAAGAATTCCCAATGCTAGTATCCAACTCAAGCCCATACTTCACTAGATACCCATGAATCTGTTCGCCAAAATCAATCTCGGGAAGCGAAGAACAAGCACTCAAAACCGATCCAAGAGTGTAATTAGTAGGGTAACACCCTGTTTGTAACAATTCAACGAACAACTCAATACCAGATTCAGGTTTCGAATTACGAACATAGCCAGTGATCAAAGAGGTCCAAGTGACAACATTTCTTTCAGGAATTTCATCAAACAATTTGCGCGCATGGATGTCGGCGCCACACTTCATATATGCATTGATGAGTGAAGTTGAAATGAATACATCTCGATAGGTTCTAGTTTTGAGAATGTGGGCATGGAGGGATTGGGCCATCGGAAGCGACCCGAGCGCGGTGCATTGTTGAAGGAGAGGCACATAGGAGGAAGTTTCGACGTGGGATTCTTCTGATTCATCCCAGGGTGCTGCTGGAGTTCTATGGGAGCAATAAAGATTGGATTGTGGAGAATTAGGGGGATGGGTAGTGAAAAGGAGAAAAGAGCTTTCGAAGGATGAGGAACCCAAAGTAGGCTTCTTTCCGTGGATCCAGCTTGTTTTGCTTCCGCTTTCAAGAGGTAAAGAGATTGGGAGACGAGATGATGGAAAAATTTGATATCAAGCTTGGGAACTAAAACCCTCACTCTTTACCCTAGAATTATGGCCGGAGGTGAGAAAGACGCCGTTGGAGCATCGGTTGGCGATTAGGGGGCCCCTCCAAGCGGGGGACCCTGTTCTGCGGAACCGGAAGTTCCGCTCCAGCGGCGCCTCTGAAGAGAGGAGAGAGATAGAGAGAAATGAATAGCCCATGGACCCTCCTGATTTGCATTAATTTCTGTGCATAATTCATTTCTCTCTATCTCTTTCCTCTCTTATAGAGTGCCCATGGATACTCTATAGAAAAATCGTTTTTTTTTACATTACATCTTTCGTTGATCCATCTTGCCACGTCGCTTCTTTCTCGAATTCCGTGGGTTGATCGAGAGACCTTTCTCTCTCAACCTTCACGTGTAAAAGTTGGTCGCTAATTTTGTGCATTAGTTGTTAGATTAAAATATTAATTGATAATCTTCTATGGTAGTAGATAGACTTAAATATTATATAGTTGTTAAACATATAAGTTAATTATTAATTTTATTAGCTATTTATTAGTTTTACAGCATATCTGTTAATCTTATCTCAGTTAATTAATAGATTTAAAGCTTTGTTGTTAAGCAGAATAAGAAATAAACAATGACGTAGAGAAACTGTCACATGACAATATTACACAAATAATTTTTGGTTTACAACCATATTTTAAATGCATATAAAGCAAGGTGTTTACATAACCATGTATATGGACAAAACGGCAAGGCATCTATGTATTCATGAAGACTAAGCATTATATGCATCAAGTTCTCCCTTCAATTTTTTTTCCTCTCCCTTTAATGATTATAATTGAGCAGCAAGCTTTGAGCTTGCTACCTATGTTGACTCGGAATGTGACGTAAGCTTCATAACATCACCGCCTTGAAATATTGTCTTGATGAACATGTACGTGTAAAAAGGTCTAAATATGACATTTAATAATTAAGTACTAAAGTTAACACCTAACTCATATCTATGGCTAACAACTAAATTTGATATCTAACTTCCATCTTTAACATATAACTCCAATATTTAACAGCCAAACAACTAAACTAAATTAAAATAGGGGTATAATTGGGAGACTCAATGCTGATGTGCCATTATGTTTAGGACTAATTTTCATTCACTTTTGAAGCAAAGAGAACCCAGAAAAAGTGAATGGATAAGAGTACTTCTCATTATACGAAAAGAAATCCCAATCCATTTTCCCATAAATAAAATGAATAATAGAGGGGGTTTTGTGTACGGACTCCATGAAAGAAAGGAGATGAAGTTGCCTACCAATTTCTAGTTTCAAAAGAAAATGTGAAAACGTGAGATGGGAGGGCTTTTTTTTTTTGTTGGTATATATATTTGATTCATCAAATCCTTGAAATAGCATTAGATCATCCGATCTTTTAAGTTGTTTCAAGTTAATCCCTTCAACCAGTGCTACCAGAAGTAAATGTAAGAATTAGGTGATCTAATAGCGATTTCAATTATTTAAATGACCAAATGCCAAATATTAAAACTATAAAGGAATTATATCTCGTAGGATTAGGCATTGCTAATATTCAACTATAATATTTTAAATATAAATTTGGTGCAGTCATGTGATGGGCTGCAATTAGATCAGAATTCAAAAACTCAAACAAAAGAGAGAATACTAGATAAACTGGTCGCATTCAAGAAATTAGGATTTTTTTTATCATCAAAAACTAATATTCTCACATAAAAGAAAAGCCTTCTGTGAATTTTTTCTTTGCATAAGTAAATAGAGAGCGATGGAGTTTGGAGCGAAGAAAGGCGGAGAGAGCAGGCTTTTTGGCGGCGAGAACAAGTTCTCTGGCGAGATCAGCAAACCAGGTTTTTTAACGAATAACAAAGCGACCCAGGTAATTACTTTCTCTCAACATGGTATTCTCGGTTCTTCTCCTCGTCGTCAGGTGGTTCATGATGGCCACAAGGGATACGTCACATCAAAGGTTGTCCAAAATCTCTCTTCTTCCCTTCCCCATGCACCTGCCAACCGCACCATTGCATCAACACACGGTCATCACTCTTTCCCTCGTCCGTTCAACTCTCTTTTCGGTAACCAACCGCCTCAGGGATCCAATCATAGGGATCCTCCCATTTTTTCCTTCTTTTAGTTCTATGCAAAAGAAAATAGGGCTTGCTAAACCTCAGACAGGACCCGATCAAGGTTGGACTTTGGTTAGCCGGAAGAAAAATTTTAATAGGATGGATAGTAAGCTTCTTAGATACCCTTTTCCTGCGGATTACAAAGATCCAAAGGAACCTCGCCGTTGTTTCAACTGTGGTGATGATCGTCATTCAGTCAAATTCTTCCCCAAATGAGCATTCTTCTATTTTAAGTGCCATGAAGAAGGTCACATTGCCAAACACTACAGATCTCATCTTCGACCTCTAGAAAAGAAGATCGATTTGTCAGAATCAGAAACCCTCTGCAACAACGCTAAGGTCCTTGCTGCGTTTGCTATCCTCACTGTCTCTGAAGGTGATCCTTCTTTGGATATGATAAATATCAAGCTTTCTTGGCTTTTTAACTGGCAGTCTTGGAAAGGTAAAGTAATACCTATTCAAGATAATCATTACCTTGTTGAATTCCCCTCTATGTTCCAAATGTCTGAGGCTGTTGATGTAAAAAGCCTGGACTTTGAGGTTTTTAAGGGTTGGTTCGCGCCTTGGACAGAAAACATGGGAATGAAAATAGTGAACTCTTCTTTTTTCCAATGGATTAAGATCAAAAACTTACCATTTCATTTCTGGTCTCTTGATATTATTAAGATAATTATTAGTTCCTTTGGAGAAATGGTTAGAGGATGTAAGAACATAAAGGATACATCTCAGATAGACTCCTTCACTAGAGAAGTGACTTTAGAGATTCGGCCAATTGGTATTGGACAAATGGGATCAGACGTGATTGGTAATC